TGGCATCGTTTCTTGCTGTACCAAGTCTACCAGCCCCGATCCGCTACCCACCGCTATACACACATTCTGGCGCTACAATAAATCGTTATCTCATCCGAATACGCGTTCCAAATTTGGGATTCTTTATACATGTACCACGAAAACACCATCATCTCTTATTTTTCTCGTCTCTTAGTAAACCTAGTAAATATCATTACTGACTTAGAAAATCACCTGTCACGTTAGAATTTTATGAAATCCATTTGTTTTTTGTTTAGTAAATGTATAGTTTATTTTTTCAGTGCTTAACGTTTTCTTCACTGTTGTTGAAAGTTATGAAAAGTCATCCTATTAAAGGCATAAAGCCTAACTTGACTTGACTTGACTTACAACCCAACCAACTGGGACGCTTTCCGTGATTTCCTAGCTTCTTATACTTGGAACGATTGTTGTTTTTCCTAAGACTTTTCAAAATCTGTTTCTAACTTCACCGACATTGTTCTTCCAGGTATACATCTTTTTATTCCACACTTTTCCCAACCCGGTGAACTCAAATCCCCCGAGTGGTTTATCGTGTTCGTGGTCTAAATCGCTCAGCCTTCCGCCACTGGCACCGCTGTTCGTTCAAGCTAGCAGCAAACGCTCGACAACCATTCACAGTACATAAGAACTCAAGTCCGGAGACCAACAGTTGTTCTCGAATGATTCATAATTGTGCTTGTACAGATCACATAAGGGTTTTTTTTGTTGGTTGGACCACGTTTTTACTCTGGATTGAAAGGTCCCTTGGGATGGGGAGAGGGGAGGAGTGGGGTGTGCCCTGTGTGGGTTGGAGTTTTGGCGATAGTGCTGATGTTGATGATCAATTTGGGGTCAGGGTAAGTGGACAGCTGGAACCAGTCACTTTTGTGCGCTTAGTTGGGGTACGAAAAGGCTAATACCTATCGCCTCGGCGGTGGCTAAGGCACTGCCTTAGATGCGTTGGGATACACGGTAGATTACGCTGAACGCGGATTTGGTGATCTGTATACAGTAGATGAACAAGAATGGCACTTCCTATGCTCCCGGTGCCTCCTTGTCTTACTTACCTTAACCGGTTTGGGCAGTGTTCCTTCATCCGTTGGGATAGTTGTCTTGCCGTGCGACCAATGTGCGTTGCATTACTGACACACCGGAAGGAGTACATTGATCATCAATGATCAACTGCTCGTCACCACCACCAACACTCCAATCATAATCGATCTCACTCAAACCCAGCCACATCGAGCTCACCCAACCCCTCCACTCTCCCCATCCCGAATGACCTTTCGATCCAGTGTGAAAATATCTCTCCACCAACATAAAAACCCTTATATGACCTGTACAGGCACAATTATGAATCATCCAAAAATATTCGCCTTCGGACTTGTGTTCTGATGTTGCAACGGGTTTATACTGGAATTTGAAACATTCAGAGAACCACAGAACGCTTCATTCGCTTTGAAGTCGAAAACTTGGTCTTTTTCGCCACCGGTAACCGAAAATGTTTTGGTCACTTGCCAAAGCGGTTTCCTGCAATTTCTACCCTTCCAACTTCCCCCTATCGGTAATTCCTCTGGTGATCTTGTATGCCAACCAAACAAGAAAGCTGATGTTTTCGCTTCCCAGTTTGCCACCAATTCCATCTTACCCAACCATCCTACACCACCTTCTTCCTTCCTCACTGACAACCTTTTTCTACCTCATACTAGCACGAGGAAAAT